AAAGAACAGAATTTGGCCTGCATTATTCTGTTATTATCCCTCACTTAATTCATGTTTGCTGTAATCTGCTCTTAAATACTCTCGCCCTTAAATAAAATTGTTGAGAGTTTACTTTACTTAGCTAAATCTCTAGCTGCTGCACTGGCTTATTAGAGCTCTTAACAGAATGTGCAAATTAGAATTGCTAAAAAAAACCCAAAGAACACCGCAGAAGCTGAGCAACATGTTTCAACACCTTCTTTCTAAACTGCACGATAGGATACTACACAGCGAGTAAAGAAGGTGGAATCTGTTTCCGATTTTACAGTTTCTGTTAATTTCATCTTATTATGAGACAATAGCCAAGTTAGAGTGTTGCCTTATGAACCTTGACCACTTTAGGCTTTCCTGTTATTTACAAAGGGGTGAAGTTACAGATCTCTACGTGAAGCACCCAGTAAACACAATATTACGTTTCATATTCTAGTGAGCAAGAGTCCTAGTGTATTCAAATGCAGGACAGCTAGTCTTTACCATTAAAGAGCAATTCTTTTTAATGTCAGAACAAAAAGAAATGGTGAAAAAAATGTTTTGATAAAAGACAAAAAGTGAAGTGCCAATTATTTTTTTAAACATGCAACTGCACTAGCTTCAATAAAATTCCACCACTTCAAAAAACAGCAAAATACAATTCAAATAAGATAGCCTCTTTACCTGGCACTGGTTATTGTTACTTGACAGTTTGGGGCCCAGATGTTCAGTAACGGATGAGGAATGGACAGTGAAACGTAGAAGAAATTGTTTTAAAACACCTCTGCGCTCTTAGGAGCGCACTGCTTAGGTGCAGGGGATGTAGTGCAGTGGTTCATTGAATACATCACTATCCTGCTTTAAGCTTTCCCCTGTGCAATGGGGCAAAGTTCTGTAATGCTCATGTTAAGTTTCAGTGCTTCAATAGTCCTGAAGAACTACTCATGAGTTTCTTAATTACTTCAGTATTATCATACATACACCCAGGGAGCTGAGGCCTTCTCAGTTTGTAACCTATGACCACTAAAGCTGCAGAGTTTTCTTGCAGAGGGCCTAGGAACTATAGCTTAGAAAAACAGGCCTATTGTGAGTAGGCCTAAATCTGCTCTACAAATACAGCTCCACGAGATAGTTTTCAGAGTGGCACAAGTCAAAAGAATTTGAAACCCACTAATCTCTGTCCTTTTCATAGGAGGTAAGGCATAAACGAATCTTTTTCTTTACTGTTGCACGTTTTTCTTATGCACTATCATCCCATGCTTGTTTGTGCCATGGCCAGTGGCTATAGCGCACTCCAGACTCTAGATGCTATATATTTTTAACTTTGCATTCTGTGCAACTCTTTTGCTATACAACTAATTAATAAAGCAAAACAGCAGGCCAAGTTATATTCTCCATTATTACTGGTGTAAATGAAGAGTTGTTTCACAGAGTCTCAAGTATTTATCTGGATTTATAGCAGAGCTAATGACAACAACACCTTATCTGGGCACCGTAATTATGTCATAATAATCACCTATAGGAAATAAATGTATAAAGGCTAAATATTGTTGTGCAGAGCATGAATACCCTGAGCAGTTCCAGACATGTGGAATCAGCAGATGCACAAAACAGCTCTGAGTTACCCGTTGTGCATTAAACGCACCCTCATATGTTTTCCTCTGTCTAGGCAGTTATCACAGAGCTTTTTGCCTCGCAGTTCACAGAAGTGCAAGAACCCTCCAGCGCGCTTTCCCAGCAGCATTTTCTCAAGCAGCACTTGAACTGTATCTGCGTGCTTGGCCCTTCAGCGGGCACGAGGAATTAGTACGTTGTTTAAACAAAGATCCCTCGTTCTCCACCACGTGCTTCTGAGTACATGTACCAAAAAGCCTGAGCGACAAACCT